AAGAAGAAACTCTACTCAGTTTGAGAAGGGAAATGGTGAAGCTACTACCACTGATGTGACTGTTACCGACGAGTAGGACATTTCCTGATGATGCGGATGAACCCCACGTGAAGCAGAAGCCAACGAGACAGAGACCAGTACGTAAAGTTAAGAGTACTTTGTTGAATTTTAATTTTGTGTTTGTAATTCTGTACATTTAATTAAGTTATTGTTATTGGTTAAATGTAAGTAGCCATTGTTCGGGACGGAAACAATACTAAGGAAGGGGCAGTGTTACAACATCGAGGTCACATGACTAGTATCACGCCACGTCATTCTCGAACTTTCACGTCTTTTCCTTAAATCTCGTTATCTTTCTAGATATAGTGAAGTCTTGTATATATAATACCGGCCACGAAGCGACGGGGTGTAATGAGTAATTGAATGTATGTGGACAAAATATTGTTGGCCACGTGAGTTATAGCGGTTATAGAACAACTGTTGAAATTAAGTGTATCGTAAAGAATAAACCAGTTTTATTTAAGAAAGGACTTGTGTCGCTAAAGTTTCGTCAGAACGAATTTACGGAAAATTAATTAACAAACGGAGACGTAACAGTATAGCGTAAAATCTTCTCGCCAGGAACAGGTGTTATTTATTTATACACAATGAAAAATTCGCTAGTGTATTTTTTTAGGATATTGAAGCTAAATTCTTTTCATGACAATTCTATCCCTTATGTAGTTTAGTTTAATATTGCTTTCAAGAATCAAAATAGACAATAATTTTTAACAGATTTGCAAGTGTATGTAATATAGTTTTTATTAGGATATCTCAAGTGCACGTGTGATATTCTCGAGTTCACTATTTCTCTTCTTATTAAGATAGGATTCACAAGATAATAAGAGGTTCATCATTAAAGTTATTGTAATTAAATTGAATTATTTTGGTTCTGACAGAGTTTAAAGTAAAGGAAAAAAAAACGGTCAGTCATAATTTAAAACATATTGAAATTATATTTCCAGAATACAAAACACAATCAAAAGAACGAGTGTATTAAAGTATGACAGTGTCTTTACTGTATCTCAAAGAAATGAGTGTGTGTGTGTGTGTATATATATAGCTTAAAATCAAGTGAAGATCTGTTTCAGACCGACATATATTGGATTATATATATATATATATATATATAGTTCTGTTACTATCCTCCTCCGTGCACTATTTTCATCACTACTGGTCATTCCAATCAAAAAACAAGAGGATATAACCTCAAGGTGTCACCTAAACTACCAGAGTAAAAAGATCACTGCCCACCTTTACATAGTATATCCTAACATAGGTGGATGACCCAAAACAATAGGTAATACAGCAAAAGGAACATAGCCACTTCATTGACTTCTATACTGTGCATGAAAAGTTTTAGATTACTAGAGTCAAGTAAATGGGTAGAATATATTATATCTGGTATGCCTACACACTACACAAATGCCACATATTGCACTTATATTTACCTCCAAATGTATTTTTTGTGGTGAGACCCAATCACAGAAGCTATCCGCTGTTTTATGGGATAGTTATTAATGTATTCTACTTTGCTTTGTGGTTAGAAGACTGTCGCATGGAACAGATATACTTCCAGTCATGTGATTCAACTTTCTGATTGAGCAGTTACAGAAATAAATAAACAGTAAACACATTTATTGCTTACTTGAAAGAGCCAAGACTCTCTGTAGAGTCCAGTTTTCTATACGATCTTTCATTAATTATCATTAGTTTACTTTCAATTACGTATACAGTAGTTTATTCTGATCTTATTTAAATACTATCTATACATTTTAACCTCATATAAGAATGTAATAACCTTCCTTTCAGATAATCATCCATTCTTTTGGCTTACAAGTTGAGGCAATTACAGCAATATTTAACTTTAATAAAAAGTAACATACTGTTGGGTTGTCCTTAAAGGATAATACAGACTTGAGCAAGGGAGTATCAACTGGTATCTCTGTTAAAACGAGTTGATATACACCATCCTTTAAAAAATAACTTGGATGGCCAGACACGTATTTTCTTTAATAATAATAAAAAGGTTAGGGATTAGTGTCAATAATATTATATATATATATATATTTATTATCGAAAACTTCCGAACTCAAGAAGCATGAAGTCAAAGCAAAACTAAAAACATTTGATAGTAGTATCTTTGTGCTAAATGTCAAAATTACGCAATATATATAATATCAGTGTGCTTTTTAAAAGTTGTAAAACCTTCCTAATAATAATCGTTAATATTAAATTCTAATAACCAAAATTAAATGTAATAAAACCTCCATTATCCGGGCAGGGAGGGCAAGGCAAATGCTTGTAACTCTGAAGCAACTTTTATCCCAAACAGACTGCGCTGTGTGTAAATATACAGCTGAGTTTGTTAAGAACATGGCATCCAATACAGTGTACTGCTGCTTTTTGACAACGTTCCAGTGCATCATTCAATGTCAGCTTGTAGTCTCAATGTATAAAGGTCACTACCATGTTCTTAACACCCAATAAGCTTCTGTTCTGTAATCCACAGCTTGAGGAATTTTGGCAAACATTAAATGATGCTACAAGAAGTTTCTTTGTATCATTTTATTCATGAAGACCACACCTCATTGTCATCTGTTCCAAAATTCTTGAAGCAGATTACAAACATGCTATTTCCCAGAATGCTTAAGCGTCCCATCTGATGAAAGGCACAGGTACGTCACAGAACCACTACTCAAACACCTTGCTGTCCATCTAAGCCTTCTTTTTTGCAAAATAAGACATGAAAACAGTCATATCAATGTGTTTGAAATGACAACAAAAAATGCCCGTAATTTAGACCAAATCACTTATATTCTCCTTACCCATAAGGGATTCTCAGCATGTTGTACACCTCAGACAACGATGACAGTATCTGATCCCAAAAGTAATGGTCACAAGAATAGTAACTATAGAACAGGTAGAATATTTAAGGATTAATTTCATTCTCATATCATTAGCCAGTACCAAAAACTAATGTCGATATAAACATATGAACATAGATATCGTACAGGAGAGCTAACCCTTTATGAAGTCTGTGCATATGTATATATATATAGATCAGTGTTACCAGGCCAGTAAGAAGTCTGCACTCAGAGGTGACAAAAATGTCTAAGAAAACGATATTAATTTTTCTTTTCATCTCGTAGTGAACAATTCTTTATTACAATATCATGTATTTTTCAGAGCTAGTTAATTTTATTTTTCCTAAGTTTATCATATCTTGATAAACATCTATTAAAAAACTATTATAATCCTGAAACTTACTTGACTCACTTTTCTTATGAACTGCTGAAGAAAAGATTTAACTTATTACCTACCAATATTAAATTTTTGGAATATCTTTTGTTACCTAACCCGATTACTTTTTTTTCCATCCCACTTTAGGTGCTCATTTTAAGTTATTTTTTTTTTTGTGTTATGATAAACTATTTTTGTAAGTAACTGGGGTGTTTCATCAACTGACTTTGTTGAATTGTGGCAAAATGTGAATTGCATAGTAAAGCTGATATTTTATTACTGAAATATATTCAAGATTTATAACTTTATAATTATATGTATATTTAATGTTTATAATATAAGCGGTTAACCCTAAAAACGTTTCATTCAAGTATTCCTAGCGTGCATAGGAGCACCACATAAATTATGTTTCTATTTGGAAACATAAGAAAACATTTCATTGTTTCCAAGTTTTGGTAATTAGTTTTTGGGTCTTATCAGAAAAAGTATCCTGTAATAAAGTTGATTCTGAAGTAGCTCCATCTTTCTATTGTACATAATAGGTTAAAGTCAGGCTAATGTATTATG